AATGCTAACATGCTAGTGGTTAGCAGGTAGATAATGTTTAGCACGTTTACCATTTATTATTATTAGCACGTCAACATGCAAGCGTTTCATATTCAGCACTAAACACAGCTTATGGAAAAACATTTTTTTTAATCATTTATTGGTTTATTGAAATTACAAAGTGATTGAGATTATTAATGCAGCGCAATAATCAATGAGAATAAACTATTCATGTATTACATACTAGCATAGTGCTTTGTATATAAATAAAATCTACAACACAATGTAATGCAGAAAGCTAACATTTGTAGAAAGTTTCTGTTCTTTCGACCTTCTCAAAATGCTTTAATTCACAGATTCACACACAGCAAAGGCGACCGAGCTGCTATGGACGGTGTTTATCTGCCTTTTGGGGGCAGCTTTGGGTTTAGTGTCTCGCCCTCGGATGGAGTCGGCAACCCTGTGATCAATAATAATAATAACTTTATTTGTACATTATTATTTATTTCTAAAGCAGAGTTACATATAAACAAATGTCAGATTAGTGATAAAAATAAGCTCGTAATAGATTAATTATAAAAACGTTTTCAACTGACAAGTAACATCGAAAACATGCGAGTGTTATTAATTATGAAGAATAAATCAACAAATGTAGTAATAAAGCTGAACACTACGGTTTTACAGTAGATCGTTTTTCTAAACCACACTGAAATATGAAGTATGGACTAAATAAAACGACGTTGTGCTGCTTTATTAGACACTAATTGAAACATGCTGAGCAAAAGCACAGACATAAAAAGCGCATACAGTACATAAAATACATAATTCACCGCGCCACAATAATGCAGCGCTACACTAAGTCATGCATGCATGCGCTGGAGCGCAGACTTGCAACAGCGAGTCTGCAACAGGTCACAGCAAAGTACACAGCAGAGACAGAGGCAGGGCAGCAAGGTGCAATTGATTTTTAGTGCTGCCAGAACTAAGTCCTAATTAACCATTTCCACCACGGGAAGTTCTTTAGCTTTGCAGGGATTCGGTCACGGATCACCAACGTTACGACAATTCATCCTGAGGGGGACATGAACGTCTGCACCACGTTTCCGTCCAGGCCTTAGAGGAACTGCTGCAGTGTTCAGGAAAGGAATAAGCGTTAACCTGGTGCTAGATTAAAATAGATCAATAGATCAATGAATAATCAAAGTCAGTAGGATTCATCCTCTGGGGACCGTGAACACGATGACGTGGCTGCTTGTTGTTCAGACATTACTGACTGGTCAAAGCGTACTTCGTCATCTTTAGTCTTAGAATTCAGTGTTTTCTGGTCTGCTTCAGGATTCAAACCTTGTGTGATTCATAGCTTCTTAAACTTTAGAAAGTGTTAGCAAGTATTCAGATTTGTTGACCATGATTAACTTTTCCTGCTCATAATCTTGTACTTTATACTATTAATTAGCCCAAACACTGCCGAGCTGCAGTGCTAAAATCAAGTGACCAATTATTTTCAATTATAACAAAGCCTTGAGGTGTGAAATGACCCCTGAATAATGTAATATCAAGCTGCAGTCAAAGAAATAATAAGCTACAACTTGGGACAAAGAGGGAAAGCTACTGGTGTTGAGCTTTAATTAACCGTCTTCTTGTGTCCTGACCACAGGTGAGAAGGTGACCATGTTCCCGGTTCTGGACATCGACCAGAACGATATTGTGGACACCAACGGCGCCGGCGACTCCTTTGTGGGAGGTACGGCATTATCGTCTGCACAGCTTGATTTCTGTGTACATTCCCAATTAACCTTTGATACGGAGCGGCTACGTAACGCAGTAACGGCTCCGGGTTTTATGAGCGTGGCATTTACCTGCTGGTTCTACTCTGGATGAGCTGATGGCAGCGCCACATAAAACAGCCGTCGTTTGGGTCCTGTTGATGATTAAACAGCACCGTCCCTTTTCCAGAAACCATTAGCACCTCGCTCATTTTAATCCCAACTGTTTCCCACCAACTATTCCGGACATGATGGACGGTCTCAGGCTGACCTCTGCTCTTCTGTCTACCCAGGGTTCCTCTTTGCGTTGGTCCAAGAGCAAGCGCTGGAGGAGTGCATCCGAGCCGGACACTACGCAGCCAACGTCATCATCAGACGGGTCGGCTGCACCTTCCCAGAGAAGCCAGATTTTCACTGATGCGGTCCAACGCTGCTCATTAGTCTGTTCCTCACAACATACGTGTTTCTGTATGCTTCAGGATTTTATGTACTTTATTTTTTTTCTATTTACAGTGACTGACTACATGGGACTAATTACTGCAGCTTGACTCTTGAATCAAGCTCGAATAAGCAACTCAGATGTTTTAATACGATTCAAACAAATTACTACGATGAAATATTGGAATGATATGTTTATGTATAAAGGAGTATTTCACTGAACGTCTGTCTCCAGATCATCAGAAGCTGAATGCCTGCAGGCCTGGAGAGGTGGTGGGACACTCCCAGTTTGTCCACTACCCAGTTCAACACTCCCAGTACCAGCTTTGCTAGAGTTTGTGTCTTCAGTGATTTATCTGGAACGTGATGAATAATATAATCGGTAGAGGAGACCTGCATTATGGTACCGGTTTGGAAAGTTTCTCTGGATTCGTATAACGAGTATTGACCCCTCGTGGACGTTTCCCCTCTTGTTGCTTTTCAACATTGACTTAATTTTAACATAATTTGGCTTTTTTGACAAGAATTTAAAATGTTTTCATGTCAGAGTCGGAACAGATTCCTATAATGTCTGTTAATTAAACGTATAAACTGTAAAGTATTCACCGCCTTTAAGTCCGTTTTTAGTGGCTTTAGCAGCACCTTGGGCCACACTGACAGCACCGAGCCCGTGTGGATGGGTCTGGACCAGCCGTGCACATCTGGACACTGCACTCATTCTTACCTCTGGAGCAAAAACTGCTCCAGCTCCGTCAGGTTACACAGGGACTGGAAGTGAACAATCCTTTTAAAGTTAAGCCACAAACTCTGGGTTGGATTGAGGTCTGGGCTCTGACTCGGGCCCGTCAGAACATTCTCCTCGTATTTAAACCTTTCCTGTGTAGCGCTGGCTGTATGCTTTGGGCCATCGTCTGACTGGAAAACAAATGTTCTCCTGCAGACTGCATCTGGTTGTTCTCCAGGAGTTCTCAGTACGTTTTACATTCACTAGCTTTCCACAGCCTGCCGGTACCATGATGCTGCCGCCGCCGTGCTTCAGGGTGGGATGTGTATGACGATGTGTCTGGTGTCAGTGCACTCAGACGATCTGTAGGTCATTTGGTGAGTCCCGTTAAAGGGCTTGAACACTAGAATTTTAGATTAATTCACATTATGTTGAAGGGATCTTTTTACAGTCAATGTTGAAGAGCAATAAAAGAGTCAAACGTGTGAGGTGGCTGAGCTCTTTTTATAGGCACTATACATGTATATAATTATCCCTGCTGCATAATCCACTTCTCCACTGTTGATCTATGCTTAATATTTTTCAGTTACTGCTTTGCCAGTAAATTGCTATTTACACTTCTTCATTTGGAGCTTCGGCGTGACGATGAGACAATAGTGACACAGAAGTGGTGAATTAAGTAGTGTAAACTCTGAGTGCCAAGCAGCGAGCGACAAACTTTTCCGAGCCATCTTTCATGCCTGCAGGGGGTGAGTTTAGTGATACTGTAAAACACAAAACACACTTCAGACTATTCGCTTAATATGAGGCTGTCACACATCATCCATGGGGCACCGGATAGATTTCAATTTACAAAATGACAATTTTTAGGAGGAACAAGTTGGAAAGAATTTATTTTATTTTTTTGTTACTATACAAATGAATGCTATCATGACACAAATGTACCAAAACAAAGACGGTTTTGACATTTAAGAATTGTTTAAGCAGCAGCTGACGTCATAGGTTTTATGAAGGATGAACGCCTCACGTTGCTCGTTGTGCATGAATTTTGTTTTACATAAATAAAGACATTCACACTATGAATCGATGCAGAAAAGGCCCAGATTGGTTGAGAAATGTCCTGCGAGAGGACAGCCAGACCCCTGCTAAACGTGTCCCAGCCTCCGTCCACGCCCATCGCTGACGTTTGTTCCACCCAAAAAACAGCACAAAACAATTGCTATGACCCACAGAGTTTGCGAATTTCCGCATTATTTAATCAGGCAGAAGCACTCTCATGCTAATCACTTTTGGACAGCTCAGCACCCTCCATTATGGGCCTGGTGTCCTGGCGCTGCTCAGTCGCCCCCACTCATGCTCGCTGGGTCCTAACTGGACTCTCGGGGTCTGGAGCTGCACTGCAGGGCTGCAGGAGATCATTTTTCTCAGTTTAAGGGATTAGTGGTTGCTCTTCGCTGCGATCATTAGAGGGACCTGAAAATTAGGCTGATCCTTGGTACCCAGCTGTGCCGTCGCTGGGGGTTGGAGGCGAGGATCAGAGGGAGGCCCCTCCCCTGCCACCCCCACTCCCACTCGCTGTGGGCCGGCAGCAGTGTTGGCCAGCGTCTCAAGTGTTTTGTGGAAAATAATTCAGCACTCGTCTGTTCTACAAAGAAGTGTGATTGAGAATAACATTTTTTGTTCCCCTCGAACAACCTGTTACATCATATTGTCTGTTTTTATTCTCTTTGAGCAGATCAGGAGGAATCCAAGCGTTTACACTCGCCTGCACAAGAGCTCTGTTTTCTGTAATGAGGCATAGTTTATGCATTTATGCTAATTGGGGCCATCTAGGTGAAAACATTCTCCAGCCAAAATGTTATTAACAACTTTGAGACACTTTTTTTTTCATCAGCATTTTTTAAGGTTTCACACAGATGCGCTTTGAAAAGGACCACATTTCTGATTGGGCAAGATCACACTCCATGGCAGCTGGTTCATTTGCTTCTCAAGATGACAGATGGCAAAACACAAACACAAAAAGAGGGAGCCATGATTAAGTAATGAGAATGCCTGCCACAATAAGGAAACTACTAAACATACTTTTCTCACTTTTCCTGGTAAACTTTTGCCTCGCTCAATGAATGCAAAGAGGTGGAAAAAAAAATACAAACATTAAAACTGTGCATTTTAATTTACATTTACAATATTAAATGTTTTGTAAGCTAGCGAGCCGCGTGGCTTTTCGAAGATGTTTAAACGGCGGTTTTATTGTGCAGCAGCGAGCTGCGAAACCTCGTTTTCAGTTTGAGCTAAATACGCTGTGAAGCACAGAGAGAGGCGGAAACTTGACTTTGTGACATTTGCCTACAAAAGTGGGTTCTCCATTAGAATCTATGGTTTTTGTTTTTTCTTCTTTTTTTTTTTAAATGCAGGCAAAGGAGTAACTGGGGCCCTGGCCAGTGTTTTGCCCCGCAGATGGGCAGCAGTGTTTGTGAACACCAGTGTGGCAGTTGGCAGGGATTGAGGAGGGGGATGGGCAGATTGCAATGGCACATGCTCCAATTCAAATTATCCCTGGACCCATGCAGCAGTGGAGGACCTGCTGGGGCCCAGGGTGGCATTCATTATAACCAGACACAGGCAGGTTTTGGTCAGCGCCTCCATCCTGACACCGAGGCATCAGATCCCAACACTCTTTATTCACATTTCACCTGCTTTCACTGATTTAAAAAGAAAATCCCTCCGACATCACCTAAATGAAATCACATTCTATTTGCACACATTTACCGCAAATTATCAGTAAGTAGATTAAAATAAATGGCGAGCGCTGAATGGCAGGAAGACGCTGAATGACATAATGGGGCAAATGCATACAGGTCAATAGAAAACATCAAGGTCATCAAGGTAATGAGGAGAGCGTGAGACGAAGATGCACTATAATGGCAAATTGACAAGACTATTAACACGTGGATTAAATGAATGCAAATCAAATTACGCATCAAATGTGTCTTTTTACAAGGGCTAAATGTTTTCATTTGAGATCTTTTTAAAAGCTGCTTGTACAGTACTGTGTGTGTTTATAATCTGATGGGAAGTTACCAATTATCTCTCTAATTACATCCGTATTACTGCATGAAAAATGAGCTTTCTGGCATTTCTAATGCTGCTAAAGAGTTGGTGAATGAGCGAGGGGAGTGCAAATCTAAAAACTGAAAATTTAATGATCTACATTATTGCTAGCAACTATTGCTCTTCCTTGGGCTTGGTGAAGTTAATTAACAGATTAGGGTGTTAGTGTATAATATCCCTCACGGCCATGGGTGGTAATATTGGCCAGTGCGAGAAATAGCTCAATTTGAAAAGGGGAGAAAAAAAAAAGTCTGGATTTATGTGTCCAAATCAATCACATTTGGAGCATATCTGCTGCACATCAATGGAAGTTTAAAATGCCCATAGGGTATTGGATGTTAATAGGACATAAAAATGTTCTGTAGCCTGCCGAGGCTAATCCACTAGAAACATGAAGAGCAAGAGAAAAAAAAAATGTTCCTCTTGGCTCATCACTGGACGTGTTGATGGAGGGGGGAAAAGTGAAATTGACAATATCATTGTAGGAGCGCACTAAAGGGGCGACGGTCCGCTCCACTACACTGAAGTAGGGATGTCTACAGTGGAAGAAGAAGAAGGGGGAGGGTACCACTTTGTCACAGGCTGCTATGTAGATTAACCTTTCAATTAGTTGTTATCAGGTCCTCTCCATGTCTCGGCGCAAGCTTTTCAGCCTTTCGTTTCAAGAAGATCAAAAAATCCCAGGAAACCGCTCGGATATGTCGCCGCACATTTATCCTTCGACGTTTTTCCCCGATAATGAAGAGGAGTATCCGAAGGGGGGGAAAACTTGAAGAGGTAAACTAACCAGCAAATATTTACGGTCGCCTGTGTGCCCTCTTTTCTCTTTGCACTCTCTCTCGCTCTGCTCTCTCTTTCCTACTAGTTATATATGTTCATCCTTGCATGAAACTTGGCGTTAATTTGTTGTTGCCTTCTCGCCCTCAGCGGCGGCAGATTTCTGTTACAAAACGGTGTAAAAAAAAAAAAAGAGAGAGAGAGAGAGAGAGAGGAGATTTTGTTTAAACCGAGCAGGGCTGTGTATCATGTCCTAATATAATGTAGGAAAATGAACGGCAGCTAAAGAAACTAGCGATACATAATTGAGAAGCAGTGATGAAGGAGCGACTTCTCCCAGCAGTCGTGTTAACTTGTATTCCCCCCTGATCGGCTGCTCTCCCCTCCGGCTCCACTGTTTGTCCTCATTGGAGATATTTGATAGTTAATGGTGATAAAGAGGTCATGCCATCATTGCGCGGCGCAACACGGGACGGGGATCATTTTCGCTGGCGGACGTTGAAACCGAGCTACTTTATTATTATTATTATTTTTATTATTTTTAAAGCTGTATTTCTCGCCAGTTTAAAATGTGAAATATCGGGAGAATTACGACTCCTCTCGGGGAAATAATGAAAAGGGAGAGGAAGATAAAGAGGAGGGAAAAGGCGATAGCATAGACACATTTTTTTTTTTTTTTTTTTTGCCTGTCTTGAATATGCTACCTGGAATTAATAATAATTCTAAGAATACGGAAACAGATAGAAATACATGTGTTCCACTTTAAATCAGCGGCGAGCAGCCTTTGCAGGTTTTTATGCAAACAAATGATAGATTTAACAAACAGCCAATTAAAGTCTAAAATGATCCAAATCACTTTCAAGTGTAACCAACTGTTTCAAGGAGGAATCTGAGTAAAGGTGGGCCGGTGCTAAACGCGCCGCCGACCGGGTTAAATACGCGTCCCGTTTAATTACCCCTCCGCCGGCTCGCGCCCGTTATGGCGTGTTTATAAGTTAATAATAACCGGCGGAGTCGGTCGGAGCCGTAAGTTGAGATATTACGAGTGTTGGAGGTGAACGGTATCGATTCATCACTGGAGGCACCTTAAGAGGCGGGTCAACGGCGGGAAGTGACAGATCACACAGCCAGTGGCGTGCCGCTCAGACCCAGCTCATACATAAAGATTGACATGTGCTTTATCAAACCAGAAATCGGATCTTGTCTTTACAGCCAATATTGAAGTTGCTGGGGAGGGCACATTAGTGTAGGTAAGGTTTAATGAGACTCCATTGGATTGTAATCAGCGTCATGTCGGATTCATGTAAACTACAACATTGTAACAAAATGGCGACTGTTTAGGTGACATCAGTAATGCTGGCAACGCTGTCATTTATCTGCTCAACTCAGCGGAACACAACTCCGGCTCCACTTATTACCGGCCCCGCTCGTCGTTAAACGGCTTCGGCGGCGGCTTGCGGTCGTGGCGCGGACGTGTAGCAGCAGCTGTCAGGGAGTGAGTATCGATTATCTGTGTGTCATTAGTAGGCAGGGGAGAGGAAAAAAAAAAAAAAAAAGCTCGCGCTGATCAGTTTGTCGCCGTCGAGCTGTCAAAAGTCTCGTGCGGACAGCTAACGGTTAAACTTTACGTCTGCGTCTCTTTTCTCTTTTTTTTTTCTTTCTTTCTCTTTTTTTTTTCTCTCTCTCGTGTTTTTTTTTTCTGCGTTTTTTACACGACACATTTCAGGAATTTACTCGCCGCAGGAAGGAATGTTAACTTGTAAGTTTAGATTTTTTTTCTTTTCTTCCAAAGAGAAAATGTCGAATAACAACGTGAAAGCGAGATCATGCATCTCTCCAGGCGACTGTTTACACTTTTCCAGAAGTCGCTAGAAGTTTCTAGCTACCTGTCATAGTCTGAAAAACTCTTAGGAAATAGTCTCCTTGGAAATGGACATCTGGTTCCGTGTGTGGATTATGGTGTCAGACTAAGGATTAAGTCACTCTGATTTCTTTAGCAGCCATGACAGCGCCTGCATCTGCTTTTATCCATCTGTTTCTCATGTTTTAGCACATCTTAAAAGTCCTGCATTCCTCTGTCTTAGCCTGTAGGTCCAATATGCTATAAGCTAGTTTATGAAGTGTGAATAAGAAGAAATACTCACCAGTTTGTTTGTTCTGTTTTTTTTAGATTTTGATCTGGGACTTTGGTAGAT